AGAAATGACGAAGAAAGGTGAACAGAAAATTTCAAAAGGCAGCTGGAGAAATCAAAGTCAAGTATTATAATGAAATGTGCAAAGACCTGGAGTTAGAAAACCTAAAGGTAAGAAAGCCCTCAGTATTTCACAAGCTGAAAACACGAAGAAAAATTCAAGCTTTGACTTGAGTTATTGAAGGATTCTTTGGACAAAATATTGAAACATATAGAAAGCATCAAAAGAAGATGAAAGGAATGCACAAAGTAATGGTACCAAAAAGAATTGGTCATGTTCCATAGACTCCGTTGACCTGGAGATGAGAGAAGAGGAAGGGCTGGTTGGTCCGAAGTGTGGTGAGACCTGGGGACTCCTGAGCCCATGGACAAGGACATAGCCTCAGAAGGACTAGAGCTGAAAGTGAAGCATCCAACTGATATGAAGTGAGGGGAGATGCACAAGAATGTCCAAACTCGCGGATAGTACCCATTTCTAGCCTCGATGGCTTCGTAATCAGAACTCAACTAGAAAAAGATAAAACAAACAATTTTTGATGAAGGAAATGAGTGTAAATTATTACAATTTGACAAACTTGACCTATATTTATAGATGTAGTAGCTTAAGGTACCAACTGAGAGGGAAGGAGTGTTCACATCAAGTATCAATCCTATACTCTCTGTATATAGGGTAGCTAGGGACAGACAACTTAGACATTAGCTGCCTAAAATGAGGGGGCGATGGAGGCATGAAGTGACTGACTTACAAGTTTTCAAAAGGGAGTTTAGTTTAAGAGTGTGCGGGAGAGGGTAGAGTCCCCACTGATTATTATTTCACCTTGTCTAGATGAGTCTGGTGAAATGAGATGGGGATAGGATTCTTGTGATTCAATAGTGAGTCATTGTTATCCTGACTAATTGCGACCATCACAACTACAAAGGTAGAGGTTTTGTAACAAAAACAGGGTAGTAGTTAATCTTACAGTCCGGAAGCAGAGGACCCTAGGACCATCAAGAGAGAAGAGCACAGGTAGAATACAGGACTCTTATAGCATAGTGGTTACGAATTGGGCTGCGAACCGCAAGGTCAGCAGTTTGAAACTACCAGCTGCTCCGTGGGAGAAAGATAAGGCTTTCTGCTCCCGTAAAGATTAACAGCCTCGGAAACCCTGTGCAGGGTCGCTATGAGTCGGAACCGACTCCGCAGCACATAACAATAACAATAACATCCAGAGAAGGAGCAATACCAGAGATGGAGGCAGAGATGAGGACATGGAGACAGGGAGCAGCTGAGGACTCTGGACTCATGGAAAGAGAAGTACTGTGTCCTGGTGACCAGGAGGCAGGCTTACAGAATGTGCCCTTGGTTGTTTAAATTATTATATATCCCTGAGTGCTTTTGTGTACATCCCCACTTCCCCCAAACCCCCCCCCCCAAAAAAAAAAGCAGAAGGAATGGAAGCAAATACTGTTGAATGATGATGCACGGAGGAGATTGTAATCATTGCAATGAAACGATGGTGTAAAGCTGATGTTCTCCCATGTAAACTATCTCTCAGTTCACAATAAAAACTTTAAAAAAAAAAAAAATTGGTGGATGTTCAACCATTTCAAAAGCTAGCATATGATTAAGAACCAATGATAATTATATTGAAGGAAGAAGTCCAAGCTGCACTGAAGGCATTGGCAAAAACAAGGCTCCAGGAATGGACAGTATATAAATGAAATGTTCTAGCAAACTGATGCAGTGGTGGATGCTCAGTTGGTTAGTCATCAAGATGCAGTCTGGAGGTGCTCCCTCATCATATGCAGTGAGAGTTGAAATGAATCAAGAAGACTGTAGAAGAGTGGGTCCATTTGAGTTATGATGTTGCTAAAGAATATTGAAAGTACTATGGACTGCCAAAAGAATCGACAAATCTGTGTTGGAAGAAATAAAGCCAGAATGTTCCTTAGCAGTCAGGAGGGCAAGACTTCGTCTGTAGTATTTTGGATATGTTGTTACAACTGACTAGTCCCTGGAGAAGACCATCATGCTTGATAAAGTAGAGAGTCCCCAAAAAAAAAGAAGACCCTCAAGGAGATAGCTTGACACAGTGGCAGTAACAAAGGGCTCAAATATAAGAATAATTGTGAGGATGATACAGGGCGAGGCAGTGTTTCGTTTTGTTGTGCATAGGGTCGCTATGAGTTGGAACTGACTCGACAGTACCTAACAACAACATGAAAAGTTACAAGTATTTGCATAACTCAGACATTGTACATCAAATAAACTCTGACCAATCATTGGAATAGTAAACTAATCCAGGAAGAGAAACACTTTCCCCCAACAGTTATTCCATTTCTTCTGTTATACCTCTCTTGCTTTTGTAACAATGATGATGATCATTATTTTATACTTACTGAGTTTCTACTTTGTGCCCGAAAACTTGGGAAGGGTTTTATATTGAATAATATAAACTTTCATTTCATAGTCACAACAGCCCTATAATGTAAGCATTAATATCGTCTCCATTTCATAAATAAGGAAACAATAGCATGTCCAAAGTCACAAAATCAGGGCATAAATTCATTGTTGTCTGTTTGAAAACCCATAATATTAACCGTATGAACCCAGGAAATTAAGTATGGCTACTTGATTGTCCCTTCTTATTCAGTGGTCCACAGTGAGTACTGCATATCCAGTCGAGTTCCACCACCTCCAAGTTCTGGACAGAAATGAGTGAATGTGGTCAGAGGGCTCAAAAAAGCCACAGTCGCCAAAGATGAAATAGAATCCTACCTGTGCTTTAGTTCTCTCTTTAGACTACAGAATATTTACTCTTACAGAAGTAAATATTATAAAGATGATCTAAGAAATTATCATAGTACATCTCATTTTCAAAACATGGTGTACAAAATTCATCATAACTCTGAAAGAAAGAGTGCTTCAAGACTGAACTAACATACACGTGCATCAAGCACAGAAGCAAAAGTTCATATTGAAATTTCAGTCTAAAGTGTGTTTTCACTTGCATAAATTATACTAGTGTATTTGTGCACTTTGACAGTCAGAAAATGATGGAACTAGGCCAGATAAGAAAAACTGCTATGGAAACGTTTAACTTATTTATGGAAGCATATTGAGTGTTATTTAGTAACACTTTTTAGAAATTTAACATATTAACATAGATTGTTAGAAACTTCAATCCACAATTATACATAGTAAGCCTTTGAATAAATAAAATATTTTCTGTCGCTGTCAATTACCACTTTGTTGCTAGGTGCCGAGTCAGTTCCAACTCATAGCCCTGTGTCCAACAGAATGAAACCACTGCCTGGTCCTGGGCTATCCTCACAATTGTTACCTTTGAGGCCAATGCTACTACCACTGTGTCAATCCATCTCCTTGGGGTCTTCTTTCTTTGCCAACCCATTAATTTTCCAAGCACGATGTCCTTCTCCAGGAACTAGTCCCTCCTGATAACAGGTCGGAAGCATAAGAGGCCAATCTTGCCATCCTGGCTTCTAAGGAGCATTCTAGCTGAACTACTTCCAACACAGATTTGTTTGCTTTCCTGGCAATTCTTGCTACTCTTCTCCAGCACCATAACGCAAATGCATGGATTCTGGCTATTGTCTTCCTTATTCACTGTCCAATGTTCATATGCATTTAAGTCAACTGATAATAAATACCATGGCTTGGGTCAGGTGCACTTTAGTCCTCAAACTGGTATCTTTGTTCTTGAACACTTTAAAGAGGTCTTTACTATTATGGATGGTAAGATAAAAGAAGGAAAATGCCTTCTCTCTTACTATACCTCCCCTCACCCCTTCAGGCATCTCTGACTGCCCTGAACCAGTTGTGCATCTCAGGAAGTACCACACATGCTTTTCCTAGTGCTGGTGACCTTCAGGCTACAATCCTTGCCCGGAACTCTTCTTCCTCCCCTTTTCTGTCTGACTAAGCCACTTCAGTCATCCTCCTCCTTAGGAAGCCTCCATAGGTCCTCTCATCTCTGCTCATATCTGTCAGAGCATTTGCCCCACTGTTTACTTTTTGGTTTCTACAAGAGATCAAGAAACTTTGAGGGAAGAGATCACTTTCATTGCTTTTTAAGTATTCCAACACTTAGCACTTAATTACGTGCCTGTTGTTCAATAATTTTTTAATTAAATGAATGAAAATAGATTGCAGTATTAAGATGTTTTAGAAATAAAAGGGAAAATGTGTTGGAAACACAAATCTTGCACGAGCACAATTTTACTCTGGCCTTCATTGCCATAATGATGTGTTTTAAAAACACATACAGAAGGATTTACTGGACACTGTCTTTTATTAAAAATATTTCACACCATTACCCAACCACATCAGTTTGCTGTTATTTCATATCGATTATTGTTCAATAAATACTTCAATTCAGATAGTAAAAATGGACATGCATATAGAATAAAACCACCACAAAATCATGAAAAAAATCACAAAGGTAACTAAACTTTGAATAACAAGGTACTGCCTAATTCTACAACTGATCAAACCTTACATAGATAAGCCATTTACCGTTTCTCAGTTTCTCCATCCATAAAATGAGGGTAACCGTTCCTAATACTTGTTCTTCCATTCTGATCATGATAGGACAATGTAATTATTACATCTGTGAGTGTTTGGAGATCTTCACAATAAAAACAGGATCACCAAAAGTAAGACAGAAGCCAAAGGTAGAATTCCCATAGCATTCATTATGGTAATAACCCTTCACGACCCTCCAGATGTCTTTAGCTAATAGATCAATAGTGCCGATACTTCCATGAGTCAAAACAAAGGTCACATGGATGGGCACAAGTTTCTCTCCCAGAAGCTCGGACTAGAGCCAGGGCCTCAAGAAAGCCCCGAACTGAGTGCCTCGCGGCCCCGTTACACTTCTGCACCCAGGAAACGGACCCCAAGGCGTTCACCGAGTAGGTTTTAGTGGGACTGACAGCGACGACTCAGAGTCAAGAGGAAATGAAGAGGTGGGAATGGAGCTCTCCGAGTGAGGAGTTTACCTGGCCTCATCTAGGGGAGCGGGGAGTGGGTGCGGAATGAACACTCCACAGTCGGAAGGCGGAGGTTGCTGCTTCTTCTTGGATCGCCAGATGTGGAAGGTGCTGTGCTTTTTGGGGGCCCTGGGCGGGCTGATCTCCCTGGAGTCCCCCTGAGACGGTGGCGACAGCGGCATCTTCTCGTTGGCTTCCTCGGACGCTGGCCCTTGTGGAAGAATACACCTGGGCACCAGCTCGCCCGCCTTTCCCAGCGCGCTGTCCGACCCCGCCCCCTCGCCGCCCGCGCAGGGGACGGCCGAGGATTGCAGGATGGGGACTCAGCCAACTGCAAGCTGCACAACAACCGGAGCCGTCCGGCGGGCTGCGGCAGCCCAGCAACGGCACAGCGCCCCCATGCGGCGCTGGCAACAAGGTCCACACATCCAGGTGAGGCGCGCGCTCGGGGAGTCCCCACTAGGGCCGACACGCCCCCATCATTCGCTTGGAGGGACAAGGGGGCTGTTGGGCAGCGACACCTGCTGGACATACTGAGAACCGCGTCCCCTGAGACCCAGTCCCTGGCTCTGGGCTGGAAGATTTACCCAGGTCAGGTTTCCACAGAGCCTCCGATGCTTGTGCCATAGATCCCCTGAGGACTCCTTGGCCTCGCACGACCTGTGAAGGCTGGCAGGTGAGTGGCTTAGCCATGAACCCCACCCGGAGAAGGATGGGGAGGCGCATCCTGTGACCGGGCCGCCTGGCAATTAGGATTATTCCACTCTGGCTTTTGGGTGGTTTGGGTAATGTCATGCACTGGGTGACTTCTGTCCCTGTTTGTAAACATGGGTGTCTATTCTCTCCTCTCTTGTCCTGTCAAGAGTTTGTTGTTGTTGTTAAGTACTGTGGAGTTGGTTCCGACTCATAGTGACCCTGCACAGGGTTTTCGAGGCTGTAAATCTTTACGGGAGCAGAAAGCCTCATCTTTCTCCTGCAGAACAGCTGGTAGTTTCGAACTGCCGACCTTGAAGTTAGCAGCTCAATTCGTAAGCACTACTCTATCAGAGCTCCTTTGTCAAGAGTCTAGAAAAACTAATTAGTTTTTACTTGTATCTCATAGAGCTCAAAGGTATGAAAAACAGAAGGGAATTAGCTATATTCTTCTGGTCCCAAAAGATTTAATAGATCCTCATAGTGAATTAAATGCTGGTCTCACAAGGTAATCTTCATTTGCTTTACTGATAATGACTTGTTTTTTCTTAACCTCACAATCATAATTAAATAGCAAAGGCAACCACTATTTAAGCAAAGGAAGAATATAAGTAATATTTGGGATATCATTAAAGTATAAAAAGCTGAAGAATCAAGTACTGTTTAAAAAATGCACGTCTCTCTTATACTTAATATCTTCTTCTTTCTGGTCCTCTTTGAGGATTCAGTTAATTAATTAATTCCTCCCTTCATTCAATACATTTTTATTTATTTATTTATTTTAATTTATTATTTTTTATTTTATTATTATTTATTCATTTTTATTTACCTTTACTTTTTATATACAAACTATAACCTCTCCATGCCATAAAAACATACAAACTATTTAACTCAAATTTTACATACCTACGTGGTTGGGGTTGTAATTAATTTTTAATGGGCTGTTGACAATGTATAGAAAATTCTTGAATATGAAGTTTTAAATTATGTCATTATCAAGATGTAGAGTATTTTCCAAGACTCATATGTCTCAGTCTTGTCTCTTCCAGTGCATCCCTTCTCATGTAAAAGTTAACCACTGTTACAACAGCTGTCACCATAGATTAATTTTCCCATTCTGGAACTTACTTTAAATGGAATCACAATGTTGCTGTTAAGTGATGTTGAATCAGTCCTGACTCATAGAAATCCAATATAGGGTTCCCAAGGTTACAATTTTTTGCAAAAGCAGAAAGCCTCATCTTTTCCACCTTGTGCAACTAGTGGACTCAAATTCCAGACCTTGTGGTTTTACAGTCCAGTGCATAGCCTACAGAGCCATCACGCTCCCAAAAATCACAATATGTATACCTTTTGTCTGGTATTTTATGCTCATTATTTTTTAAAGAATTACTCATATTTTTGCATGTAGCTATTGTTCATTTGGAGTCCTGGTGTGGTGCTGTGGGTTAATGCGCCAGAGTGCAAAGCCATTTGAACTACAAGGTTGGCAGTTCAAACTCACCAGTTGTTCCTTGGAAAGCCTATACAGGGTCGCTATGTGTTGGAATTGACTCAACGGCGCTCAACAACAACAAAATTGTTCATTTAAAAAATTAGTATGTGGTATTCCATTAGATGAATATGCCATGATTTATCCATTCCACTGTACATGAATAATTAAGTTGTTACCAGTTTGGGGCTATTATGCATAAGTTTGTCATGAACCTTCTTTAGAAATAAGCATCCATTTAAGTAGGATATGTTCCAAGAAATTTAGTCTGAGTAACAAAGTATGCATATGTTCAGCTTGAATTGTTGTTAAGTGTTGTTGAGTCGGTTTCAACTCATAGTGACCTTATATAGGGTTTCTGAGGAGCAGCTGGTGAGTTTGAACAACTGACTTTGCCAATCAAACCAATCTTGTAGTCCAGTGCTTATCCTACAGTGCCACACCACGACTCTGCCAAACCAGGACTCAACTTTAAGAAATACTGTCTAATGATATTCCTGGTGTGGTGCTGTGGGTTAATGCACCAGACTGCAAAGCCATTTGAACTGCAAGGTCAGCAGTTCAAGCTCACCAGCTGCTCCTCGAAAACCCTATACAGGATCGCTATGGGTCAGAACCAGTTCAACAGCACTTAACAACAACAATGATACTTCAAAATGATGATACTCAGTTATACATGTGGCAGCAATGTTTGAAAGTTCAGTTTTTCCACAATTTTAATCAATATTTAATATTATTAATATTTTTTATGTTGGCCATTCATTCTGGGTTCAATTTATATTTCTTCAGGGAAATATTCATTGAGTATTAATTATGTGCCCAGACCCTGACTTGGGGGTAGGGAGGCAGAGAAATGGGCTGAGAGACAGTATAGATCAATGATATACACCAAATAGTAAGAGAATCAGTGGAGGTATGTACAAGACAATATGGGATATTGGAGAAGTTATGAACCAAACCTAATAGATTAGAAGGGAGTGAGGGGAGTGATCAATAAAGGTTTATTATAAATGGGGCACTTGAGACAGACCCTAAAAGGGCAAAAAGAACAGCAAGAAAGAAAATCATATGCACACTAGCTGAAATATTTACATTCATTCATTTCTGATCCTTCTAAGCAGATTTCTTTATTCCACCCTCCTTTATGCCACCAATAAATCTGGAACCTAGTTCTCTTATCATATTTTTCACATTGCCTTGAAATTACTTATTTATATATCTGTGTCTCCTATTAGCTTATGAGAAACTTAAGAATATGCCTTATTTATTTTTTGTATTTTCAGGACAAAAATATCTATTAATTGATATTATTGATCAATTGAATTGGTTTACTAACTTAATTCAACACTTACAAAGTTTCAAGCATAGACCTTTTAGACTGTACCCTTCATAGGAGCAAAGATCACAAGTATCTTTCTCACTGTGATATCACCAATAACTAGTGTAGTTATTGGCACGTAGTAGCCACTCAACATATGTTCGTTAGATGAATTATATAAAAATTAGAAAGATGCATGTTATTATGTGCCGTGGAGTTGGTTCTGACTCATAGCGACCCTCTACAGAGTTTCCAAGACTGTAAATCTTTCTGGGAGCAGAAAGCCTCGTCTTTCTCCAATGGAGCAGCTGGTAGTTTCAAACTGCTGACCCTGAGGTTAGCAGCTCGATTCATAACCATTATGCTATCAGAGAAATATGCATAGAAGGATAAAACTCAGTACCCGGAATTAACCTAGCAAGGGAGGCAGATACCTAAGCAAAATATACAGTAAAATGTGTTAAGTATTCTAACCAAGGTGTTTCAGTCATTTTCAATTAATTTATTTTACACAATCAGATCCACTTAACGCTTATTTCAAAAAACTCATGGAAAAGATGAATTCAGAGATAATGGAATTTTTCCTTGAATTTTTAGAAGCCCCCTCGTATATAAATTGATCAAGAGAATTAGGTTGCTCGCAGAATCTCTAGGCGAATTGGAAAGCCAGACTCTGTGCAGCCACCTCACTGAGCTTGTGTAGCCAAACTCCACTTACATCATTTCTCAGCTCTGGGAGCTCTACAGCCGCAGCTCTGTCACTGCCACCAAAAATTCAAAGGCCTATTCCAGCTGCTCTTACTAGAGATTAGCCCCACCCCCAACATACATATTGTTCATTTCTGAAAAAAGTTTCATGCAGATACATCTCCGGGACATGTGTAGGTCACATAAATACTTCCTAGCTACAAGGATTTTTTGGGTTCTTTGAGTTCCACCTCAGAGAGATGGAATTCCTTTGGCTAGACATTTCTTAAACATGGCACAGGTATTCAACAGGTGCTAACATCCCAAAGCATGAAAGATAAGTCACTGCCTAAGGAAAGGGCAAAGGGGTATGAGAACACATGAGTGACTAACTCTGTCTGGAAGGCTCAAGGAAGTCATCAGCGGGGAGGTGACAGGTTTATGAGCTGTAGCTAATGAATAGGAATTTACCAAATGGCACAGAGAGGGCAGGCAATATCTGAAGAGTAAACAGCTTGGGTGAAGGCCCAGATTGTGAAAAGTCATTTGTTAGTAGGGAATAGTCCTAAGTTCAGTGAGGTTGGAGAAAAAGGGTTGGGGTGTGGTAGAATTGCAGCTGATGACACTGGTAAAATCAGGTGAGGCCAGCTTGCTTGGTAAGCCATGCTTAGACTTAGCCATGTAGGCAGTAGGAAGTCAGTGTACATTTTTAAGAAGAGGAATGACATGAGGCAGTTTGGGAGCTCTGGTAGCATAATGGTTACAAGTTGGACTGCTGACCTCAAGGTCAACAATTTGAAACAACTACCAGCGATTCCATAGTGAAAGATGAGGCTTTCTGCTCCTGTAAAGATTTATAGCCTCAGAAACCCTATACAGCGTCGCTATGAGTTAGAACTTGCAACTCCGCAGCAAGTAACCAACCAACCAACTAAAGAATACTTTGGGTAAAGTGGAGTGGAGAGAAACTAGAAAGGTGAAAATATTTGGGG